GGGGGGGGGAGGGGGGAGGGGAGGAAGGGGGCAGGGGGGGAGAGGGGAGAGGGGAGAGGGCAGAGGGGGGAGGGGGGATGGCGGAGAGGGGAGAGGGGAGAGGGGAGGGGGGAGAGGGGAGGACAGAGAGGGGAGAGGGGAGGGAGGGGAATAGCAAGAGCAGAGGCAATGCCTTGTCATGCACCTGTACAACTTCTCCCGGATTACCCCTAAACCCTTAACCCTAAACCCTAAACCCACAACTCTACACCCTACACCCTTAACCCTAAACCCTTGCAGCGCACAAGAGAGCGTGAGCTTGAGAGCTCTCAAATTTACTCAGGCCTCCTCCTCTGCCTGGCCGGACTTGGCCCAGTCCTCTTCCAGAAGGCGCCTGGCGCAAATACTAGGGTTTAGGGTTTAATGGGTTCAGGGTTCAGGGTTCAGGGTTCAGGGTCTCGGGTTTGGGGTTTAGGGTTCAGGGTTTTGTGTTCAAGGCAGTAGATGAGAAAGATGGCGCAGGAGACCGATGATATAGAATGGGCCGCGGAAGTTGAGAAGTCTTGGGAGCCTTGGGTGGCGGGCGGTGGGACTCCATGTGCACCTCCCTGAGGGGGGGGGGGGGGGGGGGGGGGGGGGGGGGGGGGGGGGGGGGGGGCCACCGGAGAGAGTCTTCCCACACTGTATGCGGCTATTTCTGGAGTTCCTGAATCTTTGGGGGGGCGAGTTGCTGCAGGGGAATGCGGGTAGAGAAGGCATGACATGGCCCAGAAAAGAGCCTCCGAAAACCTCAAATAGCTCATAACGTGCTTTCAGCTGAGAGGGGATTAAAAATCCCAAAGCCCAGGGCACCCATGCCAGCGCCAGGGTCCCCTCGATCCACCAAAGACTGCGGAAAACAGGGCGTGCGGCGTGCAGCCGAGGTTCAGAGTTCTTGAGGCTTGCGGTGCAACCATGCGAATATAAATCTTCTAAACCCCAAGGAAGGCCAGAAGCCAATTCGAAGGTGTGCTTGCGCACTAGTACTGGCCTGCACATGACTAGAAGCACACTTACACACCTCAAACCCAAGTCGCTGCACCCTTCAAGCCTCTGAAGCCAGCCTGGATCCCTGCACCCTGAATCAACGAAGGTCAAGGACAATCCCCTGTCCCCTTTGGCAAGGCAAGACGTGCCAAGGCCGCAAAACCTCAGGCAGTGTGCTTCAAATAGCACTCAGGAGCATTCGGCAGAACGTGTGCTTCCATGCCCGTTTACTTTCCTTGGGGCTGCGGACTTCAAGAACTCAGAAGTCCTGAAATGTAGATGAGAAAACCCTCGAACCAAACAGGAGACGGGCTCTGAGGACCAATGATGCGCAATGAGCCGCAATGAGCCGAGCCTAGAAGAAAGCCCTGTAAGACCGAAACCGCAAGATACTTCCTTATAGGTTTACACCCTAAACGACCTAAACCCTACAAATGCCTCAATAAGGGAGGAGGCCTTTGGGTAACGACTTACAAGCCTAACCTAACCCTAACAAGAGGAGAAGGGACCACTGTGTAGTGTACTTCTCTGGGTAGGCCTTTAAGCCCTCTGAAATATATGTGTACTTATAAAAAAAAAAATATATATATATAGAGATAGGGTCCCTTATAAACCCAAATAAGGAAAATATCAATTTTCCCAAAGGCCAACCTAGTTCTTTAAGCACCTACATGAATGCCATCACGCCGCCAGCGGGAAAGGTGATGTGGCCACCCTGCATCGGTTCCGTGCCTGTGAAGGTTTATGCATTATACGGTCTACAGGGTCAGAACATGGTTTAGGGTTTAGGGTTTAGGTTTAGGGTTTAAGGTTTAGGGTTTAGGGTTTAGGGTTTAGGGGTTTGTGCACTCATGTAGGGCAGGGGGGGGAGGTGGGCCAAGGAGGCGTGGATGACAGCTCTCGTGCCCTATCGTGCACATCGGCACAAGCAGGGACAGCGCCATGATATCCTTGGCCAAACTGGCTTCCATTTCTCGACCATCTGGAGCTGCAAGGCAGCTGACCCCCAAACCCCTTCAAACTCCAAGCCATGATGGTATCTGCTTGATACTTCTTTGTGATACTACTTGGCCAAGGCGCAACTTTATTGTTTTTGTGAAGGTCCGAACCCGAGCCCCTGAACCAACGGCCTTCCGCAGGGCCGCCAGCTTCACCACGTTCCAAGTCTGGGCACCCTCACCTGCTTAGACCCAGTAGGAGCCTAATCCGAGCATCTGTTGAATTAACGCCTCCACATATAAAGGTTTTTTTTGGCGAACATCCGGCTGCAAGACTGCTTTCCATTACGGGGGTTTTCGCATGGGGAAATACCACCACATTTCAAGAAAATTCTCCGGGGAGGGTTCAACAATCTGCCTGCAGGCTTCTTTTGTTGCTTGCTGAGCTGCAGTTTGGATCGGTGAAACTAATGCGTTCCTATTGTTTTTAATAGAGAATCAATACATTGCTATGGTCTTGCTATTGCAGCCCCCTGCTTTCTTATTGCGGTGGGGGGGTGGGGGGGCCCAATTAAACAGATGCTCGGATGAGGAATCAAAAGGGGTGCCCGTATTGGTTGAGAGGGGCTTCTAAGGTGCCCTTGCTGGTTTGGAGGGGCAGGACCTAAATTCTAAACAAAGGGGAATAAGGGCCCTGCGCCCAACACCAGAGCTACGGTCTAAGGCTCGTCCTTGCATATTTTGTCGGTCGACTCCTTTGTCTTGGACACGATTCTTCTGTCCAGGTGTTTGTGGGATTCCTTCCTACCCCCCCCCCCCCCCCCCCCCCCCCCCCCCCCCAGGGTTTAGGGACTACTGGTCCCTGCCACACAAAGACCACAAAAAGGCGCAACTGTGCTTCAATGATGCCCCGTATTTTGGGGAAAGGCGTACTTGTCAGGTAGGACCCAAACCCTTTGCGTAAGCTCAGAAATAACAGAACCACATTGACCTTGGCACCGGGGCTATTTCTTGACTTAAACCTGCAACAATCGCGACGACTGGCAAACATACATTGCATATCTAATTCCGGCTCGGAAGTTCAGTGACAACGAAGAAACCGAGGCAACACTAGCCTCCAAAACAGCCCTCAGCACAACACACTGCCCCTCTCCCCCCCCCCCTCCCCACCACCAAACAAGGCCGAGCCTAGCATCCACAGCGGCAAGTCCTCACGGTGTGCGGCTTGGGGGTGGGATGTGCAAGCGACCGGGTCTCATGACCGCTGGAAGGAATGGGAGGAGAAGGGCTTGCGGTTCCATTTGGGATGTGCCCTTCTACTAACAGCCCCTAGTAGGGATTATATAACCCCCCCCAAGGTTGCATCGCCACAAATTCTGTCCACCCCGAAAATTACCACATCTGACTAGGGACTCGGCAACCTTGCGCTTCCACCCGAGGGTTTAGGCTACCCAACTTGCTTTGATTTCATGGACCTGACATGTTCAGAGCCAAGTAGCCATTCAAGCCTATGGCCAACCGAGCTTTCATAATTCAGGCAGCAGCAAGCCACCCCCCAAGCCCGGTGCAGGCCCTAGACTCCACACCCTACACTATAAGGCTCTAAACGCAAGACGCGAAGCTGATCCAAACCCTACACCGTAAGCCCTACTGTAAGGCTCATCCTGGACCCCAATTTTAATCCCTGAACCCTAAACTACGACCACCACTACGATGATGACGACTACTCTATACCCGATGAGTAAACCCTCTAAACCCTAAACCCCGAAACCAATACTCGGGACCCTCGGCCCTTGAAGTTCCCAAACTCGAAATGTGCCCCAACCCGGTCCACAGCCGCCATCGCCGCCCAGAAGCGCCGAAGCGCCACGGCGCCCACGCCCTTCGACCGAGGCACATGGGGTAGGGTTTAGGGTTTAGGGTTTAGGTTTTAGGGTTTAGGGTTTAGGGTTTAGAGTTTAGGGTTTAGGGTTTAGGGTTTAGGGTTTAGGGTTTAGAGTTTAGGGTTTAGGGTTTAGGGTTTAGGGTTTAGGGTTTAGGGTGAAACCCATTAGGGTCCCTGTTTGGGTCCTTGGAAAAGGGTGCCGCAATATGTCGAGGGCCCATAACGAAGTTGTAGGGAGCTACGGACCCGCATAGGCTTAGCTAAGCTTAGAAGTTTAGGGTTTTCGGTGTTTAGGGTGTTGGGGGTATTTAGGGCTCGGAGGGCTTTGGAGGGTTATCTTGCAGTCTTATCATCGCCAGCGAAGGACGCTGGGTAGGGCAGTGAGTCCGATGAACAAGCAAAGCCCTAAACCCTAAACCCTAAACCCGAAACCCTGAACCCTCAACCCTAAACCCTAAACCCTGCACAGGACCCTAAAGGGCCCTAGGCCCCAAACCGTAAACCCTAAACAAGTCTAGAGGGCCTCTTACAGTCTTACAGGGGCTGGCGCGTTCGCCGGATAGGGCAGTACCCGCTGGAGTCCACCCAGCAGACAATTTCAGACCCTCGAGTCCAAAATCTCTGAAAAGGCTTGGAATAGGGCTTAGGGTTTAGGGTTTGGGGTTTCGGGTTCAGGGTTTATATATTTGCGTATAATAAAAATAAATAAATAAATAAATAAATATATATATCTCTCTCTCTCTCTCTTGTATTCTGCTGAGCTTGTTACACAACAAACATGTCGAGATCCAAAGATGCTAAACCGCATGCACATGCCGATGTGGGCAGTTCTCCAAATTAGGGCCCCCTTACTCGAAGGGTAACGTGCCGTACCACATAGTTCGGGGCCGTAACAAGGTACCCTCATTTAGAGAACTACCCATATGGCTATCGAGGCCTAAAGCCAACCCTAAACCCCAAACCCTAAACCCTAAACCCTAAACCCTAAACCCGAAACCCCCTTGGGCGACCCATTTTCCACGCAGCGCGCGTGTCAGCTCTTCTGCGAAGGCGCAGCCACCGAACCCCTGCCCCCTTAACCTCCAAGCAAAGCTCCTGTCATGCCTGGGCCACTCAACATCTCGAAACCCTAAACCCTAAACCCTAAACCCTAAACCCTAAACCCTAAACCCCTACACTTCAAGCTTCGGCTTCCGTATCATCCAGAGCACGTGGCTCGAGCCCGGCTCTGCTCGGATGATCCTGGCGGCTCCGGCTTCGTCGCAAGGTCTTAAGGCTCTAACGTGGGGTGTTTGGGTTTAGGGTTTAGGGTTTAGGGTTTAGGGTTTAGGGTTTAGGGTTTGGGGTTTGGGGTTTAGGGTTTAGGGTTTGGGGTTTGGGGTTTGGGGTTTGGGGTTTAGGATTAGGGATTAGGGTTTAGGATTCAGGGTTGCGGATTTAGGGGTCGAGATTCACGTGTTCCCTTGCTGCTAGCTGCATGGTCCGAATATATCTTATGTAAAGCAGTCGGGCTCTGCACGCAGATGCCAGCACAGCGCACTCTTGTTGAGTCGCGCGTTTTGGGCGGAGGCAACACTGCACCATGAGGAAGTGGTGCTGCTACCCTGTCAGTAAGTAAGAAGAACACAGTAGCATGTATAACAGACTGATCAGAAACTTTGAAAAAGAATAAAAAGCACGATCACAACCACAGCTATAGTGATAGTAACTATGTCACATGCTCCTGAACTCCAGCGGATCATCTCCCACGCGTGCGTTGTGGTGCTCCACAAACTTCTGCACGTCCTTCTCATGGCCGCATGGAGTGTAGGCCGGTGTTTTTTCCTCTTTTGTGGTGGGAGGGGGGGGCGGGGAGCCGACCCCAACCGATTGTAGCTTACAACCATTAAGCCCATCCGCTTTTCGCCATCAAGGCTACCAAACTGAAGCTAAAAAAACACCGTCCTGTCTGACAGCCGCCCAGCCGAAGTCATCACCAAACCTCTCGTGGCTGGGGTGGTGTTACATGGCATGCTGAACGGGCTTCACCGGACATTGCAGGCCTGGACAGGGCGTACGTAAATCGCTGTGCGTCGTACGGTTATTCAAACCCAGGATATCCGGCTGCAGATCGTTGCCGGAGTGGCCGAAAATGCCAGAGCTCTACGAGCCTTCCCAAACATTGTGTGAATGCATCGTTGGTTGGTGCACTGTCAGACCTGCAATGACATGTGGGAGCTTACGAAAACGAGGGACTCCAAATACAAACCACCCCAAATAGTAGGATTCCCGGCTAATAAGGACCCCCCCAATAAGGGTACCTCCAAAATCGTAAACCCCCCCAAATTCACTAGTGACCATGGCAAGCTCGGCCGAGGTTCTATACCCTCTGCTCCTCTTTTGCATTCTCGTTAAATAAGAAAAAATCATCACCAAACTCCTTTCTCCCTAACCACTTACTGGCCGGCAATCACACTCCCCACAATTCCCCCGCCCCGCAAACCCTAACGCCTTAAATCCCACAGCCGTCCCGTGACTCAGATCTGCCCTCTGCGCGACCACGTGGCATGATGCCGCCCGGCTGTAGGATGTCGTAGTAGAGCGACAGCTCCTGCATCTTACCTTGCCCTTGCCTTCAGAGATTGGGTTTTTTAATAGTGTCTTCAAAAAGCCTGCACCTCCTCTACTTCTCAGGGCAGCGCGGAACAGCCTACCACTGCGCATGAGGGGCTTTGGGGCTACTCGTTGTTGGGTCTGCGGGCTGGTGGATGGCCGTGGATGTGTGTACAAAGGGATCGCGGAACAATCCGACCTCAATGAACCTGAGAATTTCTCCATAAGCACAACGCCTGCACCCCAAGCCTCCCACAGTCTTTCAAACTCCTCCAGCCCGCTGCTTCGATGCAAACCTCGATAAGAAGGTCTAGCATACTTGACAAGCTCTGTTTCTTCCCGTAGACATCCCAGAACTCGCGATTGAGGTCATCACGATCCGGACACACACACACACACACACACTCACACACACACGCACATGTGGCCCCACACTCCCTGTGCTTGTGTGTGCAACAGGGGTTTTGCGATTCCTGTCTGAACAGTATCGAGGGTCTGCTTCAACTATGCTGACCTGAAGTATAGAAGAGGCAGGAAGTCACACGTACAAAAACCCAACTGCTGCTTGTATGCATATTGGTCGACATCGATGCAGAAGAGCTCTACTGAAACAGAGCGATGACAACGCGTTGTCAATCACAACCCTTTGCCCTTTAGCACTCAGCAAGACTACCCTTCCCCCCCCAACCAACCCTAAACCCGCCCACCCCCCCCCCCCCCCCCCCCCCCAAAAAAAAACAAAACAACAAAAGACAGCGCTCCAGGAACGTCTCATCCAACTCGTGGGCTGAATCCAGAAAGATCAGGTCCTGCAAGGATTGGGCATCACACATCAAAGGGAGGGACCCTGATCGGGGACCCTGGGGGGAGTGTGAGGGCTACTTCGGTCTATCGGGAGTATATAAGGCATATAGGGCCATACAGGGGAATAGGATTAAGGATCCCTTCTAGGTATCCTTCCTTGTATCCCTTGCGCACAGAAGGCCTGGCCCTAAGTCTCTCAGACCAACAGCTCAGCGTCCATGCGAGGTCGGGTCCGGGTAAAAGCCCTTCTCAATCAGCCATCGGGCACCCACGGTAGAAGTTGCCTGTCGCAGGCAGTGTGGGCGTTCTTGTTTCGGGGCTCCTGTGGCGTTTTCAAGCGAGATTGGGTTCCAGGTGCAGCTTGCGTGGGGTTTCCATAGGTTTCGGGGAAACTGCGGAACTGCGCCCACCCCGCATTGGGGCAAAGAGCCCGTGCCTGGAATGGCAGAATGTGATTCCGCGACACCTGACATGCCCAAACAGATGCGTCAGAGAGGGTGAGACAGGGAATGTGAATCTGAAACTCTACTTTGCCGCCCAGAAAACCAGGAAACCCAAGACCTTCGAAGTTGAAGTGCCACCGCATGACGCGAGAGATGTTCGTGCGACAAAGTGTCACTTCGGTTGACCGCGAACTGCACATTGGCCATAAACTGGTCAAACACCATCATGCGGCCATCGATGATCTTGACCTCTTGCAGGCATGCACAGGCCGAGAAAACAGGCAAACCAGCACACTCCACCAAAAGCAACCCATCGCAACAGCCGTGAGCCAGAGATTTCCTCGGTCCAAGCCTATCGCTTAGGGCTTAGGCTTTAGAACTTGGTTTGGGGATTAGGGCTCAGGGCATGTAGTATTTGGTGCAGGGTATGTAGAACTTGCAGCGTGAGATGTCACAAGGGCCACGCCGCTAGTGTGCCTGAACAGATGTCACAGGCGACCCCTCCCCCAGAAACATCTAAAAGTCCAAAACCAACCTCAGAAAGCATGTGGAAGTCCCAAACCAAACCCTCAACAACTAGGAGCTGGCAACCAGAAGCGCTGAAAACTGTGTTTCTATACTATATGTACATGTAAAGTATATAGCCTGTCAAACTTAAGTGTTAACGTGTGTATATACATATATATATATATATAGATAGATTGTCGATATGTTTACTTATTCTGCTATTAATGTATTTAGTTATATTGAATGTATCGATTTAACATATTCACACACATATATATATATATATATTTAAATATATATATACTGATGAATACTCATCAATTTCTGACGCTTGTGCGTGAGCTATGAAGCTTGCGCGAAAGCGGCCCACCCTGCAACGCTTCGATCCTGGGGGCGTTCGGCTTTGGGGGCGTCGGGAATAGAACTTAACCCTATAGACTTGGGATGTTCCCCTTATTCTAAGAGTCCTTTATAGGGATGATCGTACCCCCTATGATAATCCCTATATTATTAAGGACTGTTTGTATACGGGGTGAACATCCCAACCCTACACCCTAAGCAATGCCGAAAAAGCAGACCATGTGTGCTGAAGGCGTTCTGTTTGTTTGCGAACTGACATATTAAAGAGCGACTTCGCAGGTGCCGACCCGGTTTTGGTGAAAAGGGTGAGAAGCCTTCGACCTTACCGACAAAAACCCAAACCCTAAACACCAAACCCTAAACCCTAAACCCTAAACCCTAAACCCTAAACCCTAACCCCTAAACCCTAAACCCTAAACCCTAAACCCTAAACCCTAAACCCTAAACCCTAAGCCCTAAACCTTGCAATTCGGTCGAACCATCTGCACGATGACAAAGAAAATCCCTAGGATTTTCCCGCATCCTCAACTGAGGCGCTAAGCTTTTCTAAACCCTGAACCCCTAAACCCCCGAAGGCCCCTTGCATGCTTCAAGTTTCGGATCTCAGGGGCTCAAGTGTCCTTTATCCTGGCTGAAAGGTGATGCCTGCCGTGCTGTTGCAGGCTGCAGCTGCGGAGGGCTTTAGAGGGTTTAGAGGGTTTAGGGTAAAAGGTGTTGGGGTTCTGGGACCTGACCTTCATTCCCTTATCTACTCAGAGCTACTTTAGAACCCTAAAACCCTAAACCCTAAACCCTGAACCCTGAAACCCAAAACCCTAAACCCTAAACCCCAAACCCCAAACCCTAAACCCTAAACTAAGGGCTGCTTCGGCCCGAGGCTCCTTCTGGTAGTTGGCCCACATGTTGGTGTCGCCAGTAAAGGGATCAATGCACAGGATGGGGACGCGAGGCCTGAATCTGACTGCATGCGACTGCATGCTACTCAGATACTCTGCACTATGTCTTGCATTTGTGCGACTCTGTGCAGACATCCTTGTGTGCTTGTGGAAGCTCCTCCGGAGTTCCGTTCAGGCACGAGTCCCTAAACTGAAAACAAAAAAAGGACAATCTAAACCCACCAAGACTTCCAGGACACATGTTCAGCTCGTCGAGGACGGTGGCCATGTGGATGGCGCTGTGCCCATGCAGTGACCCGACCTTCATGTGTGCACAGCGGCTCGTCACTCACACGCACCCATGCACCCACGCACCCACGTACCTCGCACACAGGCACATAAGTACGCACGCATACACGCTCTTACTCCCCCATTGGTTCACTGACTGCTTAACTTAATTTCTTCTCTTCGCAATCGTATTTGTCTTCTTCCGCTGTTTGCTGGCTCTGTCGATTGCTTGCTCCCTCTCTTTCTCTCACTCTCTCGCTCTCTCACTCACTTGGATGAAGACCTGGGAATCCTGGGCTTTCAGTGCAGCGCGTACAGACGTAGGCCTGGCACTTAACATCAAGCCTGGAGCCTCGAAGCCTGCGCTAGAAGATGCCCGAGACTCCAAGCACGCCTCCACGACGAACTTCGGCATGCCTTGCCGGGTTTAGGGCTGAGGGTTTAGGGTTGTGGTTTGGGCTTAGGGTTTAGGGTTTAGGGTTTAGGGTTTAGGGTTTAGGGTTTAGGGTTTAGGGTTTAGGGTTTAGGGTTTAGGGTTTAGGGTTTAGGGTTTAGGGTTTAGGGTTTAGGGTTAAGGGTTTGCGGTTTCGGGTTTGGGGTTTAGGGTTTATAGGGTCTAGGGGTCTAGGGGTCTAGGGGTCTAGGGGTCTAGGGGTCTAGGGGTCTAGGGTCTAGGGTCTAGGGTCTAGGGTTTAGGGTTTAGGGTTTAGGGTTTAGGGTAAACCAACCACAAAAACCTCATATCGGCGGGCCCTGAGCCGCAAACCAGCTGTAAACAGCTTCCTGTCATTAAAACCCTTTACTAGACCTACCCTTTTTGGTTTAACAGCGCCTATAAGGGAACCTAAACCCTAAGAAAAGGGAATAAGGGCCTACTCTTGGTCCTAGTTTAGCTGGAACACACAGAGAGACACACTCGGGTCCTGCCTTCGGGCATGAGCATGTCCAGAATGTTGGTGAAAAACCTGAGATACAGCAGAGCCATACATTGCCCACAATAATCTATGGAACTTTAAACTCCGTGAAGAACTAGGCCAGGTCAGTTGCACAGCAAGTCGCAACTAGCATGCTTCATGCTTCTGCCAACTGCAAGCTGAATACAGCCGGGAGAAGGCCGGATGGACCAAGGAGAATCATGCTTGAGCAGGTCAAGACGACACTGGCCCTGACTAACCAGCACCAGCATGGACTAGGCCAGGTTTCCAGGGCGTCTTACGCTGAACCCTAGACCCCTGTGTCCTGCACCCGCAACCCTGAAGTACACAAGAGGCCTCCGAGCGGCTCCGGTTTGAGGTTTGAGTGTGGGAAGTTGGAAAAGCTCGGCCGGATGCCGTACCTGACGTGTGCTGCGCCAGAAGGGTCCGGCCGACTGATTTGGGTTCAGGTTTGGGGAACTTGTTTTGGAGGGGCGGGGGGGGGGAGGGGGGGTGTCCTGCACAGTCCTGCCATCCCCACTACAGATTTTCTCGCATTCTCCGACCCAACTCGTTCTTAGGTGCCGATTGGAGAAGCTGACGACCACATGGGTGGAGTCGTCGCCGTCCACTGGCCGGTGGCCGAAAAGCTCCGCGTGAAGCTCCTCAACTCAGAGGAGGTCTCTCAAGCACCCTTTTGCCCTTTTGGGAATCGTCCCCCGTCTTGTCGGCAAGGGTTGGGGGGTTCACGTTGCATGTTAAGGGGTTAACCGTAAACACCCTAAATCCTGAACCATAAATCCGAAAACCGGACTGCATAGGGGGACTTCGAGCATGGGAGTTGAGAAGAAGGGAAAGATGTGAATTCTCCAGGGCACGCAGACGCTACAGTGCCCCAAAGTCCGGAGCTAATCAGCAAAGATCCGGCCCTGAAGCGACTCGCGCCCGCAATCATAAGCCCTTGAGCCCCTAAACCCTATAAACCCTAAACCCTAAACCCTATAAGCCCCATACTATACACCCATGGATGCTTTCAGGCACCTCGAACGTCGGAGCGCGGCCGACAGCGAGGGAGACTAATGCCCAGCGCCACGCCATGCGAGGGCTCTTGGGGCAGCTTTGGGGGGCCCTGGCAGTTTAGGGTTTAGGGTTTAGGGTTTAGGGTTTAGGGTTTAGGGCTAGGGGCTCTATGGATGGCTTTGGGGGCCGTGGGGGGGCCTTTCTTGGGGGAGGGGTTGGGGTTAGGTTAGGTTTTCTTTGCTCATTAATGTTCATACTATTTTGCGTATTTGCTTTATCGTTTATCGCATTTGTTGTTTGGGGTTTGGGGCTTAGGTTTAAGGTGTGGGAGAAAGGGCCTGTTTGATCACAACTGGTGTCGCGTGCTAGTTTATCGTTTGTCGCATATTAATATGTATAGAACTATAGTTGTTTTCGGGGACACCGTGATGGAAATTGCTTAGGCTGCTGAATTTTCGTGGAAATGAGGGGTGAAAGAGGTGATATGGGCTTGCGGATCAAGGGATGGCATTCTCATGGGTTAAGGGCTGCAAGGGTTGCAAGGGGGCTCAGGATGCCTCCTGTGTGTGCTGGGCCAACGGCAACGCAGTCCTTGATGCCCAAGGGGTGCGCCCGCGAGTTCGAACTTGTCCAAAGCATTCCCCCCCCCCCTGCGCACTCCTGGAGGAGTTGAGTCTACATGACAAAGGCGCAACAGAAGCTAAACACCACTCTGCCAGAAGAAGCAACGACTTGTGGCAGCTCTCACTGCTCGTTGAGGAGAGCTGGGCAGCGGGGCAAGACGATGGCAATGATTAACGCATCACGCATTTCGAATACTTGAGCTTTTGGTGGGTCCGGCTTATGGTACGACGTACGAGTTCGGCCTAAGCCCTACTAGCGATTGCTGCTGCCAGGAGAGAGCAACCGAACTTGGGATCGTGGCTTGAAATGCAGTCTTGGTCAAAAGCCGCCTCGATGCGCACGGTGGGTCCGCTTGATGGCCCTGTAGCAGCGGTAGCTTTCAGCCGGGGGCGCCCTGAGTTTCTACAGAGGTTGGGGGTTTGGGGTTTAGGGTTTAGGGTTTGGGGTTTAGGGTTTTTGGTTTAAGTTTAGGGTTTAGGGTTTAGGGTTTAGGGTGAAGGATTCAGGGTTCAGGGTTCAGGGTTTAGGGTTTAGGGTTTAGGCAGGGTTTAGGGTTTAGGGTTTAGGGTTTAGGGTTTAGGGTTTAGGGTTTAGGGTTTAGGGTTTAGGGTTTAGGGTTTAGGGTTTAGGGTTTAGGGTTTAGGGTTTAGGGTTTAGGGTTTAGGGTTTGGGTTTAGGGTTTAGGGCAAGGGATTCCCAGCTGTTTACACAAGCAGGGCCTGGGTTCTTCAGCATCCTGAGAACTAGTATAAGTTGGGATGTTCCGCCCTTTGCTAACAGGATTATGATACTAGAATCCCTGTGAAGGACTGTTGGTATAAGGGGGAAGATCCCAAAGTATAAGCCTCCACCTTGGGCCTCAACAAAGTGAATTTTAGGACAGCGCTGTTCCCCGTTGAGCTGCCTGGGAGGAGTTCCAAGATTCTCTCCACCTCCAGGGAAGGGTGGTTTAGGGTTTAGGGTTCAGGGTTTAGGGCTTGGATGTTTCTGCTTGGGCGCGCTAACTGCAGATTTGGGATGGGAAGCAGCAAAGAATGCACGATGCAAAGCTGTGAAGGGATCGTGGGTTTTTTTTCTCGGCACTTTGAGGACGTTCCACGGTCATGAAGCACGGCACTCCCGGCTGTGAGACTGGGAGCTGCTCACTGCACGTTTTGCGACAACCTCAATGACTAGAGTTGGCTACGCAAACAAGTTTTTCACTTGCCCTTGCTGCACCGCTTAGATATTTTGATCTCATCTGCCCCAGTCCTGCGAAGCCCCAGAATGTAGAACTCCCACGACACGACCATTCTACTTCGTGTAGCTACAACTGCCATAAGCGGGCAACTGCATGAACAGCTTACCACGCGCGGGGTGGAGGGGGTTGCTGCAGATTCGCTAATGTAGGGCCGCTAATGTAGGGCCTTTAATGATTAGAATAGGGTTTGGAGGATATGAAGTAGGGTTTATATTGCTACTGTTGGTGAGTGTATGTAAGGTTCCTGTTTAATACTGGTGAGTGTATAAGGAATATAAACCCTGCCTCATATATTCGTATCATTCTATAGGGACGATAAGGGAATATAAGGGAATATTATCAGTATTTATCCGACCCCCATATTCCCTCGGACCATTGGATTCCTGCAAGAAAGCTCCACCATGGTTTCGCCTGCCCGCCCGGCAAAGGTCGCTTCGAGGCCTCGGCAGCGTGGCTTCGAGCTTCGGGAAAGCGCAAGAATCAGGGTTTAGGGTTTAGGGTTTAGGGTTCAGGGTTTAGGGTTTAGGGTTTAGGGTTTAGGGCTGATAAGGTTTCGGGGGTTAAGGTTAAGGCATGTAAGGCTGCAGATGTCGAAGTCTGAAAACAAGCAGAACCCGTCCGTCAGACACATTTATTCTCTACTCAGGCCTTCATCAGTGCCCACACATGGGACAGCCTAGGAGATTGCCCAATTTGAACCAACATGCAAAGTCCATAATCTGGGCCCCTGACAGGGTATCTTTTCGAGGTGCATAAGACATGTTTGAGAATCGGGGTGGCAATGACAATACTCGGGAATTTCAATCGAAGATGTTTCCACAGCAGCAGAGAATTCCGCCCCAGATCACTAAACTTGTCTATGTGACGTGGTCTGGTGCCATAATGGGGTGACAGCTACTTAGAATCCATGATAGGAGTCGGCTATGTTTCAACATGTTTACTGCAGTTTGCTGTAGGGTTGAGTTGCTGACACCCCGCTCATTTACCTGCAGAGCTGGCCAGAAAACACCAGAGTTGTAGACAGCCTAAGCTCCCAGGGCTTGGGGTAGCAGAGTGCAGACACCCAGGTCGCCCTAAACTCTAAAACAAAAACTCGGGCCTTGTTTTCAAAGGCCGTCGAAGGTTTACTGGATCATTCTGATGACACCCGAACAATGTATGCGGACCCCAAACCATGGGACGATTCCTTGCCCCTGAATCACTGAAAACACTGGGACAAGTAAATTCTGGGTTCAGGAAGGGGAAGGTTGACGAATCCAACGTCTGAAGCCCCACAGCTCTGAACCTCACGCTCGGAGCAGCTAAAAAAAGTGAACTTGTAATCCTGAAGCCCGTCAAAGGCACGCACCTCGGCTGTCTTTGCCATTTTCGGGTGATCCTTGTGAACCTGAAGCGCACACACACACACACACAGTGCAGTAGCACAATACCAGAAGTGGAGGTACACAGAGTTTTCGGACAGACGTTTCGGGATTATCAGGATGTTCCACGGCTTCTGCAAAAAACTCCTCGCGTCACCGGGCGTGGCGCGTGCGCACGCGCTCGTGCGCCTTTGATTGAGGGACAGTCCGCGCCTGGGGTGCCCCACTAGGGTCAAAAGGTTGACAGGGTTTTACAGTTGTTGTTTACATATATATATATATATATGTAAAGAGAGAGAGAGAGAGAGAGAGAGAGAGAGGGAGGGAGAGCTTATTTTTTGCATGGTTTGTGCTTTACAGGGGTTTACTGGATAGCCTTTGCACTTAATATCGCGGCTCATGGTGTTTCCGGGATTTCTAGGACGCATCAAGGTTGCAATCTCGGGCGTGAAAGAACCCAGGGCTTCGCGCTTGCGTCGCTTGTCAACCTACCCACCCACACTGCACGCCATTAACGGTTCCTTTAGTTCTTTCTCTCTGCTTAAACGCTCCCGTGTAAGGTTTACTTCAATCTTTCTCCTTAAGCACTTCTGTCTAATACCTTTATGGCTCACTCTGAGCTTTCCGAAACTCCTGGAAGCTGTTGGAAGTCTTTCCACAGCCCATGGAAGGTGGAGTGGTTCGGATGCCCGTAGACCCTGAACCATTCACCTTAATCTTATATGGAGAGGCCCAGAGTTCGTTGCCTAGGACATGCGGCCAGACGTTGGGGTCTGCTGCTCGACGGGCGAGACCCCGCACTTAGTTTCAGTTTGAGTTCCCGTATAAAGCAGGCCTACCTGCCCGGCCTCGTCACGCGGCTTGCCAACAACCTCGACAGAACAAGGCGGGCTTAGAGTCTGTAGGGTTGGCGGATTTAGGGTTTCGGGTTTAGGGGCTGTGTTCACTTCTCACCCTCTTCCAGAAGCTCGCAAGAAGATGGCATGGAGGCTTGGGGTGGCATGGCCTCCCCAAGGATACCACAAACACGTAGGCCCAACCCTTTTTGCATCCTCAAGCCCCCCACCTAAACCCTAAACTCAAAACCCTAAACCCAAAACCCTAAACCCTTAACCCCCAGATTGCAATGTGAAAATGCAAAAAACACGAAACCCACCGAATCTTGAAGCAGGTCCGAGCAGCGAGGCTCTTCAGACCGTCGAAGCAAAAGAAAGCCTTTTGGCAAGGTCGGGGCGCTTTCCGTCCGGGTCTACCAAAAAATGCAAGAGGCATGAAGAACCCAAATCCGGACCCAAGCCCCTAAACCCTAAACCTCCTATAAACCCCTTGTGTGCAAAGGCTGGACAGCTTTTGGCATCCCCCAAAGCGGGCCCCTACTGCAGAAACAGGTTTAGGGTTTAGGGTTTAGAAATGGGGTTTCCAATACTGCCTGGCGCAGATTGCGTCTGCACTCAGATCAGATTCGAGCAGGTTCATTGGGCACTTCAGAAACCCTCGAGCACCGACAGGCTGCCCTAAACCCTAAACCCTAGACCCTAAGACCGAAACCCTAAGCCCTAAGCCCTAAACCCTAAACCCTAAACCCTAAACCCTAACCCTAACCCTAAACCCAAACCCTCTGGACCCTAAACCCGACAGCTGTGGAGTACCCAAACCCAGGCCTCCGATGATTTGGACCCAGACCTTCCACAAGGCAGGGTTTGGGGCGGGTTTAGGGTTTAGGGTTTAGGGTTTAGGGTTTAGGGTTTAGTGTTTTTGGGTTCAGGGTTTAGGGCACTTCATGCAGGGGTTTCCGGAAATATGGGTACCTGTTTGGGGAGTCCCTACAAGCCGGATTATGCTATTTTGGAGTA